GAGCGACACAATTGAAAAAGGTTCCGTGAAGGTTCCACCACGGTGTGATTTATGGTTGCCAAATGGAGCCGGTGTTCATATGGAATTCATTTGGTGTTGTTAAATCACTTCTTGGCGGAACCTAGACGCAAAAATTTTTCAATGGTGCCGCTCGGGATAATAACATATAATTCATAGAAATGTACATAATTAATTTACTAAGCTTTTCGAATCCCAAAAAGTTAAATTTATCAGTAAATTATCAAAATAAACTACAAAACAACGAGATAATGAAATGAAAACTTTCACCTTCTGTTTTAGTAAATATGAGTTTGACATAGAATCAATGCTAAAATATTAACTTTCTCTAATACAAATTCATCGATAAATTTCTTATTAGAAAATAAAACTTTTATAAGTATTTTCATTTATCAAGACTAAAAAGGAAGTTTCAGACTATTTATCAAATTGCGTAGTTAAAAGAAGGAAAGAGATATACATAAAAGTTGCTATGAATATGAAAAGGAAGAAGCTACTTATAAGAAAAATTGTAGACATAAAATAACAAGAAAAAATAAATTAAGTTTGTTTGTTGCGTGATTCTTGTTGAAAGAGGGCTGATGTATTGAATACAATCAATAGTAAAATTTATTATTTCTTAAAAATAGAATAAAACAGGAAGATACACAATTTTACAACATGCAATAACTGTCCATCATGTTCTTTTTCCTCTCTTTTCAGTTATAATATTGTATTTTTGATACTGACATATGCCATTCCAATATTCGTCATGATTTTCTGTTATTCACTAATGGGACGTGAACTATGGGGCAGTCGATCAATTGGAGAGCACACAGAACGTCAGCTTGAATCAATGAAATCGAAGCGAAAGGTATGATAAAAGCTCTTGTTCAATATTCAACCATCATTTCATGCATATTTGAACATTTTGAATGGTACATTATTGATGTGAAAGTTTATTCCCGCCATTTCAATGGTTATGACTCGCGTGAAGCGCAAGTGATTTTTGCAGGTCGATTCTCGATACTATTTACTGGTCCCACATAAAAAGTTAATATCTTTTAACACGAAAAAAAAAAAATCCTGAAGTTAAATTAAATTACTTTTATTATTACTTCCTTATTTCCGAGAATTTATGAAAAATTAAATATTTTTATTGAATAAAAAATCATAAAAATAAAGAAATCGTTTACTTAAAGACTGTTTAAAAATGATGCTAATTAAACGAGGAATTACGATTCTCCTGTATAATAAGGCTTAGGAAAGATTCTATTAAAAAAAAGCCGAGCCTTTCAGAATCGCTGGAAAATTTTTCATTGTCTTAAGTTTAAGGACAATAAAAGAAGCTTACCATTCTTAAATATCTCCGAATTGAACGCAAGATAAATTTTCTCGATTGTAAAATTTTATGTTTAAAATTTTCCTGTTTCATTTATAACTTTAAACATACATCATGCTTCATAACTGGAAGTTACATGTAAAGATAGTAATAACAGTAAAAAAATTGAAGTTGTATCATTTCACTTATTCTGTGGGTTTTTTGAAAAGAAAAATTCTCAAGAAAAGTAATAAAGGATTATTTTTTGCACCGTTAGGTCGTTCGGATGTTTGTTATGATTGTGACAATGTTTGCTGTATTCTGGTTACCATATCATCTATTTTTCATCTATTCGTATCACAACATTTCTATGGCATCAGCAAGCTACGTGCAGCATTTATATCTAGCGTTCTATTTCCTCGCAATGTCCAACGCTGGAGTGAATCCTTGTATATATTACTACATGAATGAAAGGTAAAAAGAACATTCAATCTTAAAATTGATGATCCAGCATGAATCTCATGTACGCATTTTTCTGAACGCAATCTTTTATTTTATGGTATTTGCATTGTTTTTAAATCCAGATTTAGAATCTACTTCCAACAAATCATATGCTGTTGTTGCCGCCTGACAGTATTGAAATCACAAACAAGAAATAATTCACCACAGGGTATATTACTTGGAAAGCTTTCGAACTCCGAAATTGTACAGGGGAAATCACGTTTAGGTAAGTGTTCACATTTATTTATTTTATGATTGTATCGCATATATATCAGTTTACACATTCTCTTATTCAACAATGATTTTACAATAGCACGTCAAAAAACACTTTCCGTAAAATGGCATCAGAGTATGAATGAGATGAAAACATACGATAAACACTACAGCGTATCAAGACGAATCAGAGAAACGTCATTACAAAATCATCCACAATTACCTAAACTAAGTGATTCACACGAATATATTTCACGACACGATTCATTAGCTACCGCAACAACGCCGCTTATGGTTAACAATAATGCACTAAGCGCTTCAAATAATGCGAAATGTGATTGCATAATGCCACAGGATACGGTTACGGGGATAATATTTCACCGTACACCAAACTCATATGATGTTTTCGGGGCGAAAAGTGATAGCTGCTGATATTACTGATCAATTTTATAAAACAAAACCTTAACCATTGTAAATGACAACGGTGGATTGTAATTAATGATTGTAATGGCAGAAAGAGAGAAATGAACTGCAGTAAGTGCTAATGGAGTTAATATATTATTATTTTGAAAAGGATAAAGCAAGAGACAGTTCGATAAATGTAATTTTCTTGTAAAAATGTTATCCAATTAATTGATAGATTTTCATTAATTAATTCTCTTTTTTTCAATAATGAGCCTAAAATAGTTAATTGTATATTCCTAGACATCATTAATTCCAAATCTCGTCTCAATTAAAATTAATTAATTCTTCTGAACGGTTTTCGTAAAAATCACAATAAGTTTCTACCTATTACTTATCGAGAGTTACTTAATTTTGCTAAGGTAATAAGTACTTAATGATCAAAAGTTGTTAAATAATTTTGGAACTTTTGGATACTTCAGAAATAAATGCCGAGATCTTAGAGGACATTTAGGAATGACGTTCAAAAATCGATTTATTTGTATAAGGAAGAAGACACAAAAAGTGAGCTTTCTTAAATCATCTCTCAGAAAGACATCGTCGGTAAGTGATCCTTAAACAAACTATTGAAATTCATGCCAACCTTGAAAACAAAATTTAAATAACATAAAACATCGAGAAAAAATATGGAAATGGAACAGAAATATAGATTTAGTGAAAACAAATAATCATAAAATGTGTTCCTTTTATGAGTTAATAAAATGTGTAGTAAAATTCGATACAGAAAAAGAGATAAAATTCGGAGCTTTCAAAGTAAAATGCTGAGCTTAAAAAATAATCGAAAAAATTAATAAGCTCCAAAAATATTTTCACTCAAGCTTAAAATGTAATAAAAATTAAAACTAATATTAAAATAAAACTTAGACATTTAATTGACAATATTTTATTACGCTCAATTTAAAATCAAAATATTTTGCGTTCAGTTGAATTTACAAAACTTTCTCGCGCTCAAAATGCATTAAATATTCAGCACTGCAGTTTATTTTACTGAACAAAAAAAAATGAAAAATTCATTACAAGGTTGAAAAAAAGTTGTGACATTGATTTATTGTGCATGAAAAATTTTCACTCTTTCAGCATAATTTGCAAATAAATTGATTTTCATGTAAAAGCTTTAAGGTGATTAATCTTTATAAATTGTATTCAATTTTAATTGATTTATATTAATGTACATTAAAAACTAAATAGCTAGATTATTGTATAATTACAATGCAACGAGATTGATTCGTGATAGCTGTTTATTAAAAAAAAGTGATAACTGTTATGTGAATGTGAAAGAAGAATAAAAACATGTTAAATCTACAAAAAAGGATTAAATAAAAAGTGACAGCAAATGCTGTATTATCATATAAAATTGTAATGCATGCACGGCTTTTTCATGTACATTCTCATTTATTTTTATTTTCAGAAAAACGAATTGGAATACAATGTCAAGTCAAATGAATAAACAGCTAATGCTTAATTGTAATTGTCATTGATGACACATGTTTATTTTATATTATAATGCTGAGTGAATAGGCATTACATGTTTAAAATTTTATTCTATATAATATTCTTAATTATCAATGAAAGTTTCTTTTCGTTAATTACAGCTGTTGATTTTTGAAACATGCTGGCTATTAATTATTCACAATGATTATCTTTACACCTTTAAAGTCTACAGCAAATTTCTAAAATTAGATATAATTTGAACACATACAAGATACCATGGTAACAGCGTTCACAAATGAGCAAAAACATGAATAAAATCATTTTTATGATTTGAGTTACATAAAAGGAATAGAACGCTGTTCAAAACATCTATGAATTTTTTACTCTAGTCTTCATCCCACAATTGTAAAATGACCAGATCCAGAACTCCAAACAATTTGTGCAGTTTGACTTTCTGTATTTTTGCCCAAAATGAACTAAACCTTTTGTTATACGTTTAAAAGTTAAAGAATATCTAGAGAACAATAAAATCCTGCACTTTAGTGACAAATAGAAAACATAATTTTAAGTAGAAAGAAAGAGAATCTTCAGTAAAATAAAGATATTTCTGTGTTTTTATGTTTTGGATATTTCAGGTCAACATTTCTTTAGAATATAATTTGTATTAATAGAAGGCATATTTTTTAATTTGACATTTAATGTTTTATAAATAAAATAATAAACTCAGATTTTAAACAACAACAAAAATAAAAACAAATTATTCCGATAGCATCTTATTCAGCTACAGAATTCATCTCATTACTTCCGTTCACCTTTTTTTTCTTATCTTTATCAATGTAAATATAAGTAAGTAATATAAAGCAGTATGCAAACTTTTGATATTTTGACTGATGCTCATGTACACACAAGATGTAGATAAAGATGATTTGAAAAAATTTCATTCACCAGTTTCAGTAGCGAAGTCGAACTTAATAAAACATACTCGTGCTAACGCTTGAAGGTAAAAGAAAAATTCTTTTGATTTTTCATGTGGATCTAATAAAGTGCCTCTTCAGGAGTAATTGAAAACTTAAATATGGATAACGAGCGGAAAAAAAGCAAAATTTCAGAAAGTCGTAAGTACAGCTCGCTAGTTGGTTTAACTTTCGAGGATTTAAAAAATTGAATTTAAAATGAGATTTCAACCAAAGTTGCTTTCATATTTTTTTAACAAGCGGATTCTAATCCCATCCCACATTTGCATAAATTATGCGCTATCAAGTTAAATTTGGATTGTTTTAACGACTTTGTAAGTGAACAACCCATTAAAACCCACTGTTAATCGGCAGGCAAATCATGAATATGAATGTCAAAAAACTCCATTATTTTGGTTTTGATCTTCACGTTGAGTAAACAAATTAATTTTGCTGCAAGAAATAAAATTTTTAAACATCTTAATTTTTGGCTTGTGTCGATGCTTCAAGCTAAAATGACAGAATTCGTAGTAAATTTATTATTTCTGTATCCGTAACGACCAAGTCAAATATGCAAAATTCAAAAGAAATAGAAATTTTAAATTATTTTTAAAAATAGAAACAAATAGACTTATTGAAAAGCATTTGTAGCATTCGTTCGAGACTTAATTTAATTTCTTCTTACATCTTATGTGTACTGGAACGTTCTTACATACGAATTTGAACCCAACATGACAAATGAAATTGTTATAATGCTTGAATAAAAAAAAAATTTCAAATGAAAAGGATAAAGACATTGATGACATAATATGTTTGATGAAAAGATGAAATCGATTTTTAAGCTTAGTCGTTATTTCCTTTAAAATGTAAATTTTATCTTTTATTCGAATGGAAATCTTTTCAATTAATTTTATTCAACAAATTTTCAGTTTGTAGACTTTTCATTTATTCGTTTCCTATCTCTTTTTGCAGAAGAAAACGGAAGTGATTTTGAAACAGCAATTGCAAGCACTGGATATGGAAAATTTAATTTTTTATTGCTTTTGATTGCATTTCCATGTTGTACTAGTAGTGTTTTCGAGACGACATCGATGTCATTAATTTTACCGAGTGCTGAGTGTATCCTAAACCTTTCATTAGTTGACAAAGGAATTTTGAATGCTGTAACGTACGCTGGTAAATTAAAAGCTAAAAGTCCTTTACATTCTGATTTGCATCATTGTGTATTGATTTCAATTAAAAACAGGCATCCAAGTACGAATCTTTATAATTTTGTCTCCTTTATTTTCTCTCTCAGGCATGATAAGTTCAGCCATTCTCTGGGGATTTTTATCGGGTATATTGGAATAAACAAATATTGAATTATGTAAATTTATAAAAAAACGTGAAAATGAAAAAAAAAATCTTTGTAGACGTGCTGGGTAGGAAAAAATTGCTAGTTTATGGTTATCTATTAGATGGTGTTGTAAATATTCTCTGCGGATTCAGTCAGTCATTCATTCCGATAATGATATTTAAATTTTTCGGTGGATTTATGTGAGTATAAATTTATTCATTTCTTAAACTTTATGGTGATTCATGAGGGTCTTTGGCAGAGTTGCGATCAGTCACAGGCAATCACCTGTCATTTATTTGTGACAGGAAAAAAAATACTGTCTGTCACAGGCACTGCCTGTTAACAGACAATATCTATGACAGATTTGTCATCTGTGCCTGTGTTGTGACCTGTATTTCAACTCTGATCCTTGGGGGTGCATAAATTTAAATTGCAATTTTTTATGTTAATGACAGATATTTGTTAATTAATAAGTAGATTGTGAATATCAAACTATGGTTAATGGTTAGTCAGAACTTTCTCAACTGTATATTCACAGTTCTATTAGTGTCTCTATAAATCATTAACTTATTAATGCATATCAATGCCTAATCACAGGTATCAACACCAGTACATGAAATTACTGTGGAATTTTCAGCACACAACTCATGTCTCTGAAAAAATTACGTTTTTGCATTAAAGTTTTTAAAAAAAATTGCTTACAAATTTATAAATGTAAGGAATTCTCATGATAATCTGAACCACTTTGCAAATGTACCTTTAGAGGGATTACCTGTTATCATGTTATCATGCATGAGTGTAGCACGCGAATAAGCGAGAAGTTTACATTATAAAAAATTCATGAAAAATGCCACTGATTTACAGCCTTAATATTTGAATTGTATATGACGTACGTGAAAGTAAACTCTAAGTGTAGAAAATATTTGCAAATGTTGAGATAGAATATATAAAAAAAGATTAGTAATGTGGCTTTATCGAGACGATGGAAAGAAATGCAATCATTTTTCACATTGTTCGTTTATAGTTTCATCATCTTTTAGAATATGAGTATAAATTTTTGGGTGAACACAATAATGATGAGCATTTTCAATTTTACATCGTCATATGCACAACATGAAAGTTCCAGCATTATTTATATTTTTATTCCCATGGCTTTGGCAGATTACCAAAGTTTCCTTTTCACCAAAACTTCTGGGTAAACCAAAATTAGATTTTAAAAGCTGCCCATCGGCTTTTTTTCCAAAATTACATTTCATCCCTCCATCCCTCAATGCAATTTACTTTTTATCATCTTTATTTTTCTTGAATATGTTCTTTTATTGAAGAAAGAAGCAGAAGTTTTGATAAATTTTATTTTTTTTAACTTTGTAAAGCTATTTATAAATAATGTCTATCAAACATGTTACAAACTAGTGATAGCGGCGATACGTTTTCCTTAGCTTTACACAAAAATTTTAATTTAGGCTTACAAAGTCACACAAAAAAATAGTAGTTTTGAAGTGCTTTTTTGCTACCTCTTTGTCTGATGAAATTTTTGACGTCATAAATGAATGATCCAATCCTTATCCTTTTTATAAAGTACATCAACTTATATTTTTGATTTTGTTTTATCCAATTAGATCATGCGGTCCATTTGCTGTCTTGATGGCTTACCTTTCTGAACTGCATGGCTTGAAATATCGTTCTCGAGTTATGCTGTCAACGGGAATATTTTTCAGCTTAGGAAACATTATTCTACCATCATTAGCTTGGCTTATTATACCCAATTCTATATTTAACATCAAGCTGATTGGAAATCATTACGGTATAATTATCAGACCAGCCGAATATTGTGCTTAATTAACTTTTATCACGATATCAAATATATTTTTAGAACTACATACATTCCAAACTTTTCTGGTTGTATGCTCACTGCCCAGCATCATAAGTGGGCTTGCTGTTATGTGTTTGCCTGAAAGCCCAAAATTTCTCATGTCTCGTGGAAACAACAGTGACGCAATGAAAATATTTATTAAAATTCATCGTATGAATAATGGGAATGATGCAGTCTATCCGGTATGTCACTCAAAAATGATATGTAAAATAATCACAAATATCTTTAATCGTGAACATTTTCATGAAAATATATATTGAAAAAATACAGATTAAAAATTTAATCAACGAAAGGATGAAAGAAGTTAAATTAATTGAAAATATAAACACGAGGCCAATGTCGAAATTATTTCATGGCATTCGCAATGGACTTTCCCAGATGACTGTCATGCTGAAGCCTCCACATTTAAAAAATGCCTGCATCGCATACACAATTCAATTTTGCATTCTTTTTGGGTGAGTGAATTATTGTTGCACAATATCAAAATTGAGTTTCCGTGTATCTCTTTAGCCTGCATTGTTGAAAATATAAAAAGGGTTATCGGTTTAACTGTTCATTTTGGCTTGTTTGATTTGTATATCATATAATACTTTTACATTACGTATCAAACTACAATTTATGAATGACTCAAAGGTAAATTTATCGATAATCTGAGTAAAGCTTTCAATTTATGATCCATTTGATGCTTGCTTGCGGTGTGAATTTCCATTTTATTATTATGTAACCATGTAACAGTAGTGTATGAAAAGTTTTGTCGGTTATACATTTTACTTTAGATTCCAAACCAAAACAATTTAATTTTGAACTTAAACTTAAATTTAATATTGGATTCACCAATTTGATACGAATGTGGGAGAGAGCGGATAGCATGTTTTGTTTGGATAAAAAAAAAAAAAAAAAAAAAAAAAAAAAAAAAAGAAAAAAAACAGAATATAACATAATAATTATAATAACAGTAGTAGTGTTTAGTGCGGTAGTAATTGGGTGTTGGTTCAAACTACGAGCAGCACCAATTTTAAAGGAGGGTGGAGAGGACGGCACCGTCCTGAAGCTCTCCAGATTATCACAGCCAACTCTTTCAAACTCCAGAAGACGTTTATCGACTGGTGAAATGCGATCGCATTTCGTTTGAGGGGGGTGGATGTGGGAGAGAGCGGATAGCTAACGCTCTTCTCTCATTCTCTCAACGGTATTATGCATGCATGCATAATGCCATTGAGTAAATAGTCTTGAAGATACGATTAAGGAATAAAGACACAATAAAGTATAGACCGTAAAGTATATACAAAAGTATACAGTCTTATTCATTATTATAGACTTACAGGATTAGGACGTTATCCTTACAGATATATAGTCGGTACGTTACTATACGAACATAAATTGAAATTCTTCATGAGAACTCAATCAGTAAAGCTAGTAAAGTTATTAATTCTTGAATACAACTTACATATGCGCTAACAGCACTTGATAACTGAAATCATAAAAATTGTTTTTTCTTTCTTTTAATATTTGAAAAAATCTCTCTACATCGTTCAGCTTGAATACATTCCGTCTGTGGGTTGTACAGCTATTTGCCATCATCAAGGAGTATGAAGTGGAATATGCACATGAAATGGAATCAATGGATGCAAATTTATGTAAAATGATAGAATATAAAGTGAACAAAACTGAGCATATCCTCTCAGGATCGGATGAAAATTTCAATAGAACTTGTGAACCGGTGAGTGCATTACTTATTTTACTAAGTATTACAATTAATTTGCAAATTTTAAAACAGTTTGCATAGCGCTTTAAAAATTTTAAGTTACAAATTGCACCTGATTATATATCTGAGTTCATTTTGAACAAAAGACACTTTATCTTCAAGTCTTTGTTTCTGCATTATTTCCGTCTGAAAAAGTCCTTTTCTTTCTCCACTGCATATTTTTTTTTCTCTTCGTTAGGATTCGTTCACTTGTTACGTTTGGTATTACGGCTAAAAAGTGGTTTTTTTTTATGTAACTTAATAAATGTACGGTTCCTATGGCACCTAATTAAATTTGAATAATTTTCCGCGCTAGATTAACAGGAACACTATATTTAAACGATTTTCTTTACTTTTTTTTACTGTTCATGAATGTAGGAAACGAGAAATTTCTTGTTGTATCCTTCATCTTTAAATTATCACCGCTTTCTACGTCAAACCTTAAAAATGTCTTTCCTTTAATAAACATGGATAAAGTTGATAAAAGTTAGTCGTACATTAAATTCATACCAGGATGATGAAACTATCTAGATTATAATATGATAATCGACAGAAGAATAACTTAATATAAAATTTTTCAAGTCCCCGTCAAAGTTTAATTCTTAAACAAAAAATTGAACTTTTTTATGACTTAGCATTTCATTTTATGTAATCATATCTGTCAAATTTACTGACTATTTACAGTCGTTTTAACTTAATAAGGAGAAAAATTTAATTACAACTTTTCTGAAATGTCCCTGACAAATTATGATATTTATCTTCATGTTTAAAAGTATAAAATTTGAAAATGAAGGTAAATTTACTTTGGCAAAAGATATAATTTGCAGTATTTAATAGTTCACTTTTTGAATTCGTTGTTTAGGAAGTCTGAAAGAAAAATTTCGAAAAGGAGTATTTACTTGGGTCAAGAAAATAATTTTTTCAGTAACCTAACCCTAACAGACAAGTGAGTATACGCATGGTAACGTAACATACTCAAGAGTATGTTCAGAATATACTCTTGAGTATGTTACGGTACCATGAGTATACTCGTTTGTCTGTTAGGGTAACATAAAAAAATTTCAAATTTTAAAAAAAAGTTTTCAAAAATATTGATTTACAGCTTTTTGTTATTATTATGCATAAAAATGGTCAATTATATTGTTTTATAACATATTCTAACCAAAAAACATTATCGTATAGCTTAAATATCAAAGAAACAAAAAAATATTTTCTTTATATGAGCTGTCTTTTCTTACCAACTTCAAGCTCCTATAATTTTACTTGTGCTTATTGTAGACTCATGCGGTTTCTAGTGAATGAAAGTCCTAAGCTAGACCTTTCCATAAATGTATAACACCTTTATGAAATTTAATTAGTTTAACCAGAAAAAGCAAAATAAATTCAAGATGGCGGAGGATTTTGGAAATTTTCATACATTTTTCACACTTTTTTTATTGATTTCTCTCTTGTCTCATACTTTTTCCTAAATTGTTATATATCAAGTAAAAGCTTTTAAAAAATGAAAGAAATTAAGATAAATTACAACTAATAACAATCCGCAGTTATCGAGAAAAATTAATTTAAATAGTGAAAAATTCAGGTTAGGAAAACTCGTGAAAAACTCAATGGAAAATTCTGAAACTTTTACGAGTTATTAACATTTAAATAAGCAATTAGTGTGCAAAACTTGAAAGCTTTCATAAAGTCGTTGCTGAGAAAATGAAAAACATTAAAAACTTGCATATATGAAATGCGTTTTTTACCCAAAGTGACTACATATATTACTTGCAAATTTTCCAAAACTTTTCTAGTTATCATATTGGAAATTTAAAAAGCTTTCCAAAAATATATAACTTTAATAGGTTTCACGGAAAATATAAAAATTTCTAATTGTGTGTCCACTCACTTTACCTAATGCTTAATTTTTTTCACATTTTCACATGTTGATGCTTATCAAATACTTATTGCTACGTCAAAAATGCGCTGAAGTCCCTCGAAAAATAACACGAGGACTTTTGTAAGTTTAAAAAAAATTAAGAGTTTCGACTTTTTGATAATAAATCCTGAAATTAGACCAAATTCTGTGATCTACATATGTGGAAAATATTCATTATAATTATTGAAATTTAACCATGTATTTAATTATTTTGCGTTATAAATGAAGCTTTATGAATGAAATTGATATTTTATTATTTTGATACGTGTTGTTATTACATCAAACAAAAATAAATAAAATTAACACTGATTTAAATTCAATTTATTCCAATAATTTAATAACAATCGTGATATTGAATAATATGAGCTAATTAATAGAAAATACGCTTGTCATTTGGAAACTTGGCGTTTTAAAATATAAAGAGTTTTGCAGGATTTCATTAAACTATTTAGAAATTTTAATCAACATTCAACAGTTTTTATTGTTTAAATTTTGAGAGAATTTCCCACGCTTTTGATGCTTATGAATGGGCTTGTGGCAGCTTATATAAACTTATGAGAGTCCATATAAAATTTGTAATGATTTTAAAATTGAATAAATGTAAAACATCAAAGTTTCTTTGTCTGAGAATTTACCTGGAATAAATAATCACTTAGGGATGATTGATGGTGTTATTTTGATCGAAAATAGTACCAAAAGATAGGCGTGATCTAATCTTTGGAATAATAAGGTGAGGAGGACCCAGTCTTTCAGCCGGAGGCACTGCGATTCAATTTGTAAAGAATCTATTGTACCACACTCTTTAGACCTACAGTTTATAGTGGTTGCAAGCCATGCACATTACAAAGACACGGGAACGTCATAAGACCTGTTGCAATGAAGTCATCAAGTTTATCCTAGTATACCTAGCAAAGGATACACTTCATGTGCCGAAGACCTCAAAACTACACCCAACACAAGAACCGAGCTTCGTAACTTGAACGGTGAAATGAAAAAAGAGCTTCGAAAATTAAGAAGACGTGGCCTGGGTTTGAACCCAGGACTTTTGGCAAGATCTAATCTTAATGCATATAAAAATAATCTTTACAATGCTATGATTGGTGTTACGAATTTTCTATAAAATTTAAGTTTCAAGCAATTAAATCAACATAAAGCCATTTGTGGCTTGATTGATTTTCTTAATGGATTTTGCTTCACAAATAATTATATTCCAATCAAATAATCAAATTTTAAATTTAAAGCGAGACTAATTAACATTTGAAATTTTTTATTCCAGAATTTGGATGGAGAAATGTTCTTTAATTCGATGCTCATTAGTATCATTCAACTTATTGCATATTTGATGGCAAGTTTTGTAATTAATGCAATTGGTAACAAAAATCTATTAAGTATGATAATCATGATAATCAATTATTCTAGGCTTATTTACATAATTTTCAATTATTTTCTATAGTATTTGGTTTAATGATTTCCGGCTCTTGTGCGATATCATTATATTGGGCAAAAAATTCTATAACCACACTTCTTCTGTCGGGCGGATATATATCGATTGCTAGTCTCTCCTCAACAACTCTTGTGGGATCTGTAGTGTCATTATTTCCTACATCTACCCGGTAAAATATTGGAATTTTTTTTTTATTTATAAATTTACTCATTGCCCATTATAGCACAATGACAGTTTCACTACTAATGATGTTTGGGCGTCTTGGTGCAGTCATAGGAAACTTGATATTTCCAACACTTCTTTCTCTTGGATGCTTTCCTCCGTTTTCGGTGATAAGCTTTACAGCTTTTGGTGAGAAAATTTAATTAAAAATTAAATCCACAAGAAGTGCATAATAATGAATGAATAATTTCAAAGTTTGTAGTGTAGTATGCTGGCTTATACCGAAGACAACAAAAAAACCATTGCAGTAGAATTGGCAGTAGAAACTGCAATTGCAATGCAATTTTTAATTTATTTTTATATACTCTTCATTATTATAATTATTATAAATAACAAGCAGCGAGATTGATGTTAAATACTGTGATGTCATATTAAATAAAGCATTTTGATGCTTCAGGCATACTCATTAGATACGCTCCTCTGTTTTTTTTTTCATACAAGAACATTGAAGCAGCTTTTTCTTTCAGCAGTATAATATTTCAAACTTTTTTTTTTATGACATCTAATAATTATCGGCTTTTGTTCAGCACAACATTTCATACTTTTTTTAATTATAAACTTTAATTTGAAGTAGAGTAAGGAACGGTGTCATAAACAAGACTTATTTTTGTGAAATTCAATATACAAGAAAAAAAAAGTCGATTTTAAAAGAGTGAAAAGGTGGATCGAAAAGTTTTGAAACTGAAGCTTATGAACAGCACTTTCTTCTTTTTGATGCATTTTCCCTTTAGACATTCAACAAAAGTTTTATCTATTCAGCCAGAAGATCATTTTAAAGCTTTAATATTCAAAATATCTTCAATATTTTTCATATCAATATCATCTGACTTCGATGTACACATAGGGATATGCATTTATATGATTATTCGATCAAATTTACTGAATAAATGGAATTTAATTTAAGAACCATAATAAAAAGATTTTCAATCAATATCAAATATAGATCAAGAGTATAGCCAGTTAAAAGGGGATTTGGAACGAACAATGTTTGAAAAAAATTCTGACTTATTTGCTTTATAATTCTTTAAATTTTGATTTTATAGAAAGAGGATTAAAGCTTTAGTCTTCTCTGACTTCATATTTGGATATTAAAGTCGTAAATACTCTTTTTTGAGATCTTGATTAAATTGAAATCAATCATTGATTTTGTTTACATTTCTTTCAAAGTTTTTAATGAAAATTCTTCACACAAGTGCCAAATTAAATAGAATAGAGATGACTTATAACTAAGGAAATTAAAAAAAAAAAAGTTTTCATCAGTTATCATAAAAATAATCTTACTTTTTAATATAGGTCAGATATTAACATTGCGTAGGCCAGTCAGGTAAATTTAAAGTTTGGGTATAATTTTTAATTAAAATGACATCCTACACTTCATTTTTTAAGCGAAATATATTTACTTTTTTTGAAAAAGTACGAAACATTTTTATATTATCTTTTCCGTTCAGAATAAATTTATGAAAATCATTAAAAAGCTTTTAAAATTTCATAAAAGGAAATTACTTTGCGATTTTCCAACTTTGACCGTCCGAAATCCTTTTTTCAAGGAACATAACAATATTATCTTGCAGTATTGAATTCAACTTGTGACCGTTATCTTCTTTCGACATAAAAAATAAAGAATAAGTTGAAGCTCAACAAACATGAATAGAATGCAAAAGGAATCTCTTTTGACTTTACGATTTTCCCATTTTCGTAGTCTCGTACATCCTTGCTTTTTTAGTTTCCTTTTGTAGTAAGAGAACAATGATGAATGAGTTTTTATTTTCAATGGAAGTGGGAGAAGAATTGGTAAACAAATTTTGAACATACTCAAGTTAAATTAACTTTTGAAAAGGAGCGATTTCCAGATTCTTAAATTTAGAATACAACCATTTATTGCCAGTCAACAAATATGATTAAAATGAATGAAACATATTTCATATTAAAATGACGATTCAAACATAAAATTTACACTTCTTACGAAAAACCAAATGTTGAATAAAATTATAGGAGATTAAAGGATAAAGACACTTTTTTCTACAAAAAACGGTAGAAGTTAAAATTTCAAACTCTAAGAAAGTCAGCCTTATCATTATTCAAAATTAGCTTTTGTGTTTCTTTCTTATTATTTGTGAGAACTTTTTGAAAATTTTCATCGTTTCTTCGTTTTGGTTATTATATAATAAATTACCATTTATGTCCTTTCTAATTTAAAAATTAATGAAAACTTGTGAATAGTCAAAAAACCATTTTTGTTAAACGAATAACACAGAATTTTATGATTAAATCTTTTATTTAATTTCCATCACATTCTCACCAAATAATTGAGTTTTTCTCGTTTCTCTATAACATTCAGACTGAACTTGTTAATGAATATTTTATAATTATAGCTCGATGCTGCTCAATGCAATTTTCTTGTTGATACTTTAATAGCTTTCTGAATTTGCTTCTCATTAAGAGGTTCTTAAACTTTTTATCAGCGAACACACTTCATGCTCTGATTTAGTTGAATCAGTCTAGTTGGACTGTATTACCGATTTGTTTATATTCTACAGAATTCACCAGAGTTTTGCGCCATCAAACTTTTTGTTTTGATAGACGTCATTTGTTAAAAAATTGAAATAAAAGTAAAAAGAATTTACTTATAAGTTTTAGTTCAATTCTCTAATGAAAAACAATAAATTATTTTTCAACTTAAGGATATCCTTGTTTTCTGGACTATAAAAATTTCAGGAAAAGCTAAATATGATGTTTACTCAATTCAGGAAATTATTCTCTTGAGTTTCGTTCATCTATATTAAATGATTGCTGTTTCAATAACACAGAAAGTAAAACTTGAGTGAAACTATTATCATCTGATTGAAACTGCTTCTATTTACTCTACTTCAATAAAGAGATAACAATCGAAGCTTGAAATAAAGGAAATATTAAAAATGCATTACATTATTGATAGACAATGATTTTTTTTTACAATAAAACAAAATTTTCTCTTTGATAAAATAAATGTAAGGAAAAAAATTTTATGAATTTAAAACAGAAAGGAAATACCGGGAAACTCAACATTCAATTATAAATTTTATCTTTCTACATAAATTTATTATTCTCGAAGAGTTCAAACAAATTTTTAATTGAAGCTTTCGAATTCCCCCACTCAAAAAACTCATGAAACTGTCAAAAGTTATTTCTTATATTTTTTCTGTCATAAATAAAATTATTATAAAAGGATTCTAAAGATATCGCTAAGAAAATATATGAAAATATTACCTCGTTTTACGTCATAATTTAATCTTTATATTTTATGTTCATCACCGCATAAAAAGTCTTTTTATGACATTTGAGACGATGATTAAAACAATTTAAGCAATAAACATTAAACAATCATATAATTCAAATGTAAGGTTCATTTTAAGCTTGATTTAATCTTTGAAACTGTGAATTCGTGTCAATTTGGATATTTTGTTCTAAACTTTAATTTTATATTTTCAATTTTTCAATTTCTATTTTTAGTTTTTTGATAAAATTAAATTGCTATAAAATTGTCAAATAAATCCTTTAAGTACCTTCAAAGAGAACTTCTATGGCTCATCAAAACTGAGTACATTTTATATTTTAAAAATAATCATGTTTATGTCATTAAAATAACTCAGGCTCTTTGTATGGTTTTTAATAATAAAACGAAGTCATCAAAGAAGTTGGACATTTTTTTAATTTTATGTGCTGTACATCAGTAACTTCTAACTTTATACAAGCATTTTGGATCGTATTCGCGATTAGATAACATACTGCGAAGTTTGCTTCATGAACCTTTCATAATATTACTGAGAATTGAAACAACATTTTGTTTATTGTCACGCGTGTAGCTTGAGATTTAAAGTAGTTGATTGATATGATTGAATGGATGTTATAAAAATTATTAGTTCTTTGGGTCAAAAATGTTTGTAAACAGAAATTTTTGTTATGCTTCAAATGCATGCATTACTGACTTGATTAACATTAGTAGAATCATGAGCATTGAAATAATAATGTCTAGAATATCAACAGGTGTCAACGAGTTTTATTCTGCAAAGTTTTAGATTCTCAGAATTTCTTTTATTAAAATTATGATCTCGGGTTTTGCTGCTTTCATAAATTTAATAAAAAGAAGTCTTTAGGCGTAAATTTAATTAGATGTCATGTGTTGTGCATGATTCAACAATATATTTAGAAAATTTCAAAAAGTCTATTTCTGCAAACGACGCTGTAGAATGAATCTCTGGTTAAAATGCTTTTTACCACATTTTAAATCAATACAATAAATTGTAAGAGCTATAAAATGAAATAAAAAGGTTTCAATTTAAGCAGAAATGAGTTTTTGTGACACGGTGTGAATAGAATCATGCTGTGAGAAAATTGATTTCAAAAACTTTGTGCTTTTCACGAAGTGGATTTTTTCATTTCTAGCTAGGGTTTTTTTTTTTATTTCTCATAGACAATATGACTTAATGATGGTTTCAGAACTAAAATTTGGAGAACTAATTTGTCCTGTTGCTCTGCTCCGAGATTAGGTTGATTAGTGTTATTGTTAAGCTATATTGTCGCTTCCATATGAATGTTCTAATAACAATATAGACATTTCGTTTGATGTTTGCAAATATTTGAATAAGATTTTTCAAATATGCATGCCTTTGTGGATTAAAACCTCATCGAGATTTGCTCTAATAATGATAACAAGTATCCACAATTTTCAATCAACAGCCGCAATGTGAAATCAGTTCATTATGCAAATCTATTCAGCACAAAGATAATTCTATCAACAATGTTGAATTTTGGGTTCGTCATACGCAAAGTAAGAATTGGTCCAATTGAAGCTACTTTATTGGCATGTGACATTTTTTGACAACTTTAATAATGATTTTTATGCAAGTGTGTGTGGACGTTTTAGAAACTTTATTTCAAAATTAATTTACAGATATTAGGAAATTAAATTATTTTTACAGACGAAAAGCATAACGGTTAGAATAAATTCAAATTTTCGCGCAAAAAACCGATTCAACGAACAAAATATTTGAAAAAACTTCAACAACAATAACTTTTACAAAAAACATAAAATAGTAAAAATAAAGTTAAAGTACTCTAATTAAATATATTTATAATTGATTATACGAAAGAACAGATAGAACTAAAGACAATAGATATTTCATGTCATGTTATTAGTTAATAGTAGAAGTTATTTTTGAAAAAAAGCTTTCGGAAAATTTTCAACCATAATTTTTATATATTTTTTTATCCAATGAGCATATTTGAGACATCCTCGGAACTTTTTGATGATTCAGACGTTACTTCGCAGTCAACATTTACATGTAAGGCTTAATTTCATAACATTTAATTGCTATTTGAACTAATAAAATATTTTTATCAATTTACAGCATTCAGTTCACTAAGTTCAATTAGCTCAATCAGTTCCTCATCAGTTTCTAATAGCTCCAACTCGTCTGACGACAATTCAATGGCAGGAAGTACACGACGTGGTCGAATGGGTAATCTTTTTTCACAAAGTTCAGGATCATCCAGTGATAATCAAAATAATATAGACAGTCCAACAAGTACATCCGATAGTGATTCTTCAATGGCAAGCACTAATCAGTTGAGTGAATCTGAAGTGTCCAATAATTCAAGCAGATCTTTTCAAACAAGTGATACCGAACCATATGATGTTGATGAAGAAATGGCTCGCACAAATAATGATCCAATAATAGAAATAAATGATTCTCAACTGCCAAATAATGTCCAAGATGATGATGATGTAATTTTAATTCCACAAAATATTGAAACAATTGATTTGTGTACACAAGCATTGGTTGTTCCACGACGTTTACGTAATGAAGTCATAGATATTACTGACAGTCCAGGAATTGAAATAAGTCATGCTGGTCCAGTACGTCGACGAAGAAGTAGGGTAAATGTCACTGAAAATCCCGTAGCACCATCACCTCAAAGACCAACGACTTCAACGCCCAACGCAAGACAGCAACTTAATTTAGATGATTCGTTAAATGATAGTCAGCCAAAAATCACCTTAACATGTCCAATATGTCTAGATACAGTAGTCAATCGAACACCTGTTTCAACCCTTTGTGGTCACATATTTTGTCAAACGTGTATTGTTCAAGCACTTGGAAATGCCAAAAAGTGTCCAATGTGCAAGAAGGCACTAAATGCGCGAAAACCATACTTTAATATATTTTTACCATGTTAAGTTAAAAATGATCAAAAGATTTTTATGCTGTAATTAAGTATCTCTGTTTACAAAAAGACTGAATAAAATTCAAGGGAGAATTCATTAGTAAACGTTTAAACAAATCGACAACGTTTTCAACTGTTCTTTTTGTCTTCGTATGTATCATACCTGCAAATGATGTCATACAGAATGAATTTCGCAACTTGATTTTTTCCACGAAGATTTATATGAAACCAAACATCATGAATTATTTCTGAATTCTCTCCCACGCTAGACATTCAAACATTGGAAATTCCCATGTTCTAAGAACCCATTCATAAAATAAAGTTATGAATGAACTCGTCTGAGATTTTTTTTTATATTGAATTCCGACGTAAAGTTTATTAAGTAGCTAGGAAAGTTTCCATGAAATCTTTAACATCTTTTATTTCTTCCGAATAAGTTGTTTTCAATTTCAATTAACTTGAAAAAAAAAGCAGCAAACAGAGAACATGTAGTCTCAAGTTTAATTCATCTATTTCCGTCAATGAAAAGTATTTAATTTAAACGAAAGTTCATTGAATTTTGGGTTAATTCTGCGAATAATTGAGCATTGAATAGAGAAAAATCCCAATTGAAACTCTTCATGTGAAACTGTCAGGACATAAATTAGTTCCGGTCATTCAATGGCGATTTCATCAGATTTTCAAAGGGGTTGTTCACTTATGACGTCCAAGGGGGGGGGGGGGGGGGTCAGACAGAAAAGAACAATAGAAATTCCTGGAAATCCATTGTTTGTTTTTGAATATGGACCGTTTTGAATATTTCGGACGTCATAATTGAACGTCATATACATAATTGAAAGTATGTAGTTTATATTGATCAATAGACTCTCATTGGACTGAAGCTGTGCATCAAAAATTTAATTTTAAACCTCCCGAACCATCTTAGAATTGCCATCAGAGCTACAATTAAGGATCCAAACAAAAATGTACAATTTTTTCGACATAACATTTATTAAGAATAGTATTTTTGGACAGGTTATAAACATAATTTCACAGTGCTTCAGCTCTATGAATAGCCATGGGAATATCATTAAAAACCACATGACTGTAATGCTTTTGTAATATTCTCTTCAGTTGCTGACTATTTTCCCAGTCAGCAGCTTCCGCAACAATTTTGACTTCGACTGAGTAAATATCCTTTAACCAAGCTCTTTCATGCATTATATCCTTTATGCTAACACCACATGAGCAAATTAGCTTACACAATTCACTTATACCTCCTGGACGATCCGAAACTGTTACTGAAAAACGAATTAAGCGACCCTCAGCAGCCAAACCTCTTTCAAGACATCTTCCTAATGATGTTGTATCAATGTTACCGCCACAAATCAAAAGAACAATTTTCTTTCCTTTATATTCATCTAAATGTCCAGCAAGAATAGCAGCTAGTCCACTTGCTCCAGCACCTATGTTCAAGAAACTTTTATCATCTTAAGTTACGATGTATGTAATTAATATTAAGCACCTTCAACTACACATTTTTCCATTTCAACAAGGCGTAAAATTGCCAAAGCAATCCATTCTTCCTTGACAACAATCATCTTATCTAATAATGGCACAATTGTTTTGTAAGCATTTACACCTACTTTCGGTACAGCAAGACCATCAGCTAAAGTAGCATGATTTTTAGTATAAATTGGACCACCGTGTTCTAAAGCTTTTGAAAATGATGGACATTTGTCAGATTCAACACCCTGTTAAGAAATAGGAAGGTATGATAAGCCTCCTTCTCAGTATCGAGCTCCATATGCATTTTATACTCACAATGATTTTTGTGTTGGGTGAGAGTGTTTTTATTGCAGTTGCAATTCCAGCAATTAATCCACCGCCTCCTACTGGAACAACAACTGCATCTGCACCATCACACTGCTCAACAATTTCTAATCCAATTGTTCCTTGACCAGCCATTACTGTCGAAAAATCAATGAATCTTTAATAACGTTCAATTAAACATATTTTATAGGACTGAACTGTATGGATGGTCATATCCATTGATATACGGCATTCCTTTATCACGTGATATTTCCATAGCGATTGTTTTAGCAGCTGCCATATCCGCGCCTGAAACATTAACAATATTAATTTTATGCAAAATTCCAGAATTCGACAGTGTGAAATTTTAGAATCTACATACCTTGTACAAGAACATTTGCCTTGAAGCTTCTGCATTTTTGTATTTTCATGATAGACGCCTCCTTTGGCATAACAACAGTTACTGGGATATTCAGCTTCATTCCATGATACGCAATTGCTTGCGCGTGATTACCTGTTGAGAAAATGTTTGTTATTACGTAGGAGGAGAAACTTTGGATGCAGGCTCATATTTTATGAACTCTCATAATAAAGATCATATCAATTCTGATTTAGACAAGCTTCGTTTAAGTTTCAAAGTAATTCTTAATTTTATCCTGTCTATAAATCAGTTGCTTTAACAATAACTACAGCATAGGTACCTAAAGATGCAGACACAACTCCAGCTCTTTTTTGTTCAGCTGTTAAATGTAATAAAGCATTTCGGGCACCACGCTCCTTAAAACTTCCAGTGAATTGCAGAAATTCCTTTTTTAAATAAATATCCATTCCCAGGCTATCACTTAAATGTGAGCGCTTAAATTTGCCAAAATTATGGAAAGGGAAATTGAAATGTATTATCAAGGTACGTGACTAGACAAGTAATTGTCTTTAATTCTTACCGTACATGGCGTTGTTTCAATTCCGCCTGAAAGAAAATGTCAAGTATCACTTTATAGGCTGATAAATTAATTGAAATTTAGAATCAAATGTATAAACACCTCTTATCATAAAGGCAGCTTGACAAACATCTTGAAATGTTATTACACGAGGATTCTTTTCATCGCAAAACGGATCTTGAACAGTTTCAGCAACATCTGTCGAATCAGGCTTTGTCGAACAATCCATTTCCTCAAATGTCACTTTTTTCTCATCTTTTGGCACATTTTCATTCTGTTCGTCTGACATTTTAACAACAAAATCTGCTTAATTTTACAGATTGAATTTTTTTTTTCGAAAAAATACTCTTTGCACGTCTTCAACAAATGAGCTGATAAGCAAAACTGTCAGCAGTTACAATATATTTTTTTCATTTATGATTTTACTAAGCTTGTGATAAAGAGATATTTACTTCTCAAAAATAAATTGATAATTGACTATGACCACAAACAGAGACTATTTGCATGCGTTTGAGATATGTGTCAAGTACGTATTTCATATGTCATGAATCTGTTCTAATGAATAATTATAACAGATGTATTGTTAAGAATTTTATAAGGTTATCCAATGTTGATACAGGCACAGATGCAGTTTTTTTTTGGATGTTATTGAATAGCACTGCCAAATTCTTCAACACCACAGATGTTGACTTCAACGAATTCTCATAGGGTGGAGTTAATGGCTAATAAAGGTTCATATATTAGATGTATTCATTCAAACTTATCTCTACAGCTTTTAATAAGATTCAAACTCAAGGAACTGAAGAATTACATTTTGATCATTTTTGATCAATTTCGATCCTTTTTGATCAATTTTGATCATTTTTGATCATTTTTTGATCATTTCTAAAGTACCCTTGTTCAAACTATTAATTTGATGATATTTTTGCTAGGAGCTACCTTACAAATGAAGGGTACATACAGGTATATGTTGCCTTGATTTAATATATTTATAAACTGCTTTAAACTCAAATTAAAAGTCATGTAAAGCATTTTTCTCATAAAAATGTTATCAAGTCAAATCTCAGAAGAATGATATCATTTTGTTAAGGTAATTTAATATTGAAGCAATAAAGTTGTGGGTATATAGTGTTATTTATATGCTGACGTAATTCTCAATTATGTGATGAGTCTTTCAAATACATCTCCCATCAAAACAGTTTATTACAAGATGTTTAGCCTTGATGTGCCTTTAAGGAACTTATGACAATGTTTCATGTAGAGAAATAAAAGTTACGAGAAAAACTTGTCTTTCCTGAAAAGTGGATGTAAAAGATCAATAAAATAAAAAGTCATTAATTTTTGAGGTTTTTTAGACTTTTTTAATAAAACAAAAGATTTGAAATTCTGTATTTTCATCATCATTTTTTATAGATTTGTTGTCTTATCACAAAAGCTTAATTTGTAAAAACTTTTTGATGTATTTGCGAATACGCCCTGACTGGCGAATTCGATGAATTCTTCTTCATTTCTTCTTTCCTTCTCTTCTCATTCCATTCATCCTACTTCGTACCATTCATCAAAATGAGAAAGGAAATAACATAAATTTATTTGATGAAAGATAACAAAATAAATAACTGGAGACGATTTTTTCTTTTCTTTGTTAAATAAAAATTCAAAAATTACGGATGCTGAAAATGGTAATGGCATTGAATTTGTATTTTTCACAATGCGTAATTGATTTTTTCAATCATATTCGTTTGACATTTTTTAGAATCGAATCAAGATCTGCATGCTTTGCTATTGAATTGCAATTTCCGTCGATTCGTGATAATTTCTTATTCATTGACATTTTCTGAATTAGGGATATATAATTTTAAGTGAATTTTCTTATCATACAAATTTAAGACCATTTCCACTTCCACCAAACAAATCATTTAACCAAAAATACCATTAACAAATTGAATAAAACTTTGTATTTTATGATGAATAATGATCATATTTTATATATTTCTTCTGTCTTCTTTGAATGTTTATGTATATATACTTCCTTAATAGGCTTCAAATAATCATATTATAAAATTCATATTCTGTACAATTACAAAAATAAGAAAGATTAAATTAAAAAATTAATAAAAATAATATTTAAGCTGTTTTAAATACATAATTGCATAATTAATGGATATATTTATATAATTTTCAGTTTTTAATATGTGTGATAATAATTGTCTATAATAAAGATTCTCTGTAAAGTTGTCTCTTCTTGTCATTATTAAATATATGTCAATATATATAGCACAATAAATTGTATAGATAATTGTCAATGATAATTAATCAATTTTCTTTTAAAAAGAATTTTCATTCTTAATTCTAGCGAAATTTTTTGATAATTCCCATCAAGTTTATTTCATGCTAGATTTGATTGATTAAGTAGTTTAAGTGTGAAATATTATTAAATTTATTATTTATTTGACAATAACATTCAATATAAAAATATTTATTAGTCGCTCATGCTCTCTCGATTTCCTTTTTTTTCTTTGTATTTGTAAGACTTCCCAGGAGCCAAAATACTTTCACGGTTAACAATCTAGTGAGCTCTTATATTGCTGTTGTGGATAATGTCCTCTGATTCTTTGACTGTGGACATTATTTAATGATATATATTTTTGTTCAGATATTCAATTGTTGATTAGAAATAGCAATTTTGAGAAATTATAAAGATTATCAATCATTGAAAAAATTATAATAATAATCCGAATTACAGCATCCCAATTGCTTTGGATATGTCCACAAGAGAACATTAAAATTTTTAAAAAGTCTGGAACCGTTGCCTTGAAATTAATCATTTCATATCCACAAAACAGCAAGTTAAAAGCTTTCTAATCATCAACAATTTATCACATTTTGGTTACTGGGGTGTAATAAAAAATTTAAGTGCTTATCAAGTTCATGTGTGAAAAAAATATTTGGTTGAATAATTGTCATTATTCAAGGTTCCTCTACAAATCTGTTACTAAATAAAAAAGTATGAAAATGAAAACTTTTTGTAAATATTTTCATTTCTACATCAACTGTTTGATATTTTGTGACATTTAGATAGTAAAAGACTTTTTTTTTGTTGTATAGAAAAGTTTCTGGAAAACTGAAAATGCTAAATCATAATTTTTTTTTTCTAAGATTCAGAACAACATTTATCATAAAAGTTTTTATGTGCAGTAGTAAAATCCCATTCAATGTACATATTTTTTATTGATATATATATTTTTTTGGTATTTTTTGAAAGGGCATTTTCTCAATTTTTCTTTTGCTTAGTTATGATAAATTTTCCATTTAATTTGAGAATAATTTTGGAGAATCAAGAAATGACCAACGCTTTCCTCTTCTTTGATTTTCATTATGCGGGGTGAAATGCCAATCTCAATTTTCCTTTTTCACTTAATTTTTTTAAATAGTTTCATATCCAATTGTAAATCTGCTTACTCTACATCTTTCTTTCTGTATTTTAAGTGTTTCTTACAAATATAACATCCATCAAATGAATTAATTTGTTAATACTCCTTCTCCTCATCTGCTACAATATCTTAAATTGTCATTGGCAAATGTGAGAAGGAATTTCATACATGCTGGACATCATAAGTGAATAATCACATAGAAATAAATTAAAAACTTTATTGAACTAAACATTCATTAATTATTTTTTATTTTGCTTTTTTGCAATGGTCGGTCGCGTACTTGTTGAAAGTAAAATTAAGCTTTGGAGAGGAGAAAAATAACATTGCGAGAAATTTAAAACTTAAATGTCATGTTTGATTGGTGACTGTAGAGCTTTAAAAATATCAAACAAAGTTATTTCCCTCCTGACCTTTGAATTTCAACATAAAAGTTCAAAACTCTATTTCTTCATGAATCAAATAGGAAATTGTTTTTGATACGTGCTTAATGACGCAGAAATTGAACAAACAATTTTTTGATCCACTTATGAATTTTGTTTTATGAAATCTTGTTTGTTCTGTAAAAAAAAATACAAAACAATCTTTATAAATCATTTCAAGTAAAGAAAAACAAAATCCTTAAAACCGACCGTATTTTTTTCAATTTTATCTTTTTGTTACTAGGTAAGGAATTTTTTTTTTTCATTTGATAGGATTCTATCCTAAATTTAAACATCATTGTAATACTTTTCTGTGTACTTTTTCCTTAATTTCTAAAGATTAATTTTTGTTTGCTTTCAACGACACCAGATTTGTAGATTTGAGAGATTTCATTGAAGGAAAATGATTTTTTATGCATCTACGTACATTTAATTTTTTTTGTGTGATGTTAAATTTTTTTTTGTGATCTTATTTAATATTTTTTTGTGTGGAAAACAGTTAATTCATTTTTATCATCTTTTACGCAACTCTATTTTTATCATATTCATGTTTTTATGCTTTATTCTTCTTTAATGCGATTAAATTTTATGGGAAAAATTTCTTCATTTTCTTCTGCATTGGTTTTACGATAAATCTTTGATTTGTGACTTTCGAAATGAAAATGATAAGTCTAATGGAAAATCAAATTGAAATTCATTTGATTCTTGGTTTTTCTAACTTGTTCCAATCCATATCCATTACTGAACTTTTTAAATATTCATTGATGAAAAAAATACGAAAATTTAATGTCAAAATAGAATTTCTAAATGTAAAATTTCTGTCAAGCACAGACGCTGCTCTTTCTTGAAAATCAACATTTTTCTTGTGGAATGTAAGAAAAAGCAGAAAAGTCTTATTTATGGTCGAAAGTAATGTGTCAATAAAAAATAAAAATTTCCTCTATATCTCCTTCCCTTTTGTGTTACTTTTTATGTAATTGTTTTTTTTTTTTATTAATCGTGGTCCATTTTCAACTTTTCATTTACTTTACATTTTTAAACGATCCTCGTGTGCTTTCTTTACAATCGCGAGCTTAGAATGTGGTGAATTTGGTGACAATGTCCTATATGGTGGATCTTTAGTTCCGTGTAAGACAAGTGACCATTCTTTAAGCCATGCTTCCTGTGGCTCATTCGAATTGAATGACACTTCAAGTGTCCATTTTCCCTGTGGATATTCACCCCATGTGTGTGTAGTCATAAACGGCCATTTTGTAAAGCCATCTCTATGATCATCATCATTCGGTCTCTTGCTTAAAATCATTGATCTAAAAAAAATTACTTACATCAAAACTAGCTCTCAGCAAGTATAGTCATTTAATTCTCAGATCCTACCGTGTTCCCATTGGTGATGTCAAAAACATTTCAAGATCTCCTCGTCTTGTTACATTTACCACGGATATAACAGCTTGCACATGTTCTAGATAATTCACTTCAGTATCACTTCCTATGCATGCATTTGTATCGATTTGTAATTTAATCGTTGTAGTTGTTGTCAATTTTCTATTTACACATCAATAAAACAAAGGAGATAAAATCAAATCAAATTTCATTCACAACTGTACAAATAAAATTGATATTTACTGTATTTTTGTAATTGAGCCAGCTTCACAATGATAACGTGGTGGTACTGTTCGCCATTGTTTAGATAATGTTACCATGCCGCCAGCATCTAGCACACCAAATCCGAAAAGGTGATTAAATTCAAGACCAACACCATTCATTGTCCAATGGAATCGATTTTTGGCATCGTAAAGGGAATTACGTTTAGATGTGAGAACTGTCAGATGTTGTATATCCCGCCATGATAACGAGGGACTATTTGGTGAAAGCAAATAAAAAATAACAACGAGGAAAAAAAGAATCGTAAAAATATATTGAAAATTATTGTTATTCCAACTCACTTTGCCTCAAGTGCCAAAGCAAAAACCCCAGCAGCTTCGGGTGCCGCTGCTGATGTACCAGAATGTGTTGTTGTGCATTTTCCATATAAATCCGTTGTCGCCTTTAAACATAAATCATTTATCATTTTAACACATGTTTAAACACGCTTGAGACTTATGTCAATCTATTTTTTGTTATCTTACCACGCCAGTATTTGGATCTTTTGCTCCATTGCTGAATGTACTAGCAAGTGTTGAACTACAGCTTTCATCATAGTGTGCATTCTGACCATCGTTAATTGCACTATTAATTGATATTGTCCACATAGATGCAGCATATCCATCACAATTACAATCATCCTCTTCACCACCATCACCTGATGCCCACACGTATATGTTTCCTAAGCCACGACGACCTTCATTAACGCCTTGTACAATTGCACGCATCGTTGCATTTCGTGGACCATCGACTGTTTTGCCTGAAAATTTATGTTAATCACATTACAAAAGGGACTCGGAATATAGATGTTTAACTTAAAAAGCTGCTCAGCTTAATTTGAGCTTAATGGTTAGTAAAATAATCATACCATCATCAGTTGGTCCCCAAGATGCACTATAGATATCAATTTTGTGTGGTTCATGACCCATTGAATTAGCTTCTATTAGATCGGTCATATATGGCTGATCCAGCATTCTTATGCCGGCAACTTTCGAGTCATAAGCAACGCCAACACCGCAAATGTCATTATCACGGGCTGCTGCTACTTCCCCTGCGCATCTTGTACCGTGACTATAGTAAATAAGAAGGAAAGAAAAGTTTATTGAAATAAATTTATTGGAATGAAAGAAAATTTGTCAAACATAAGTCGATGAGCTTAAAGAAGGAACTGAAAAAGTATTAAATTGAGATATCAAAGTTTGCCAGAAAAGTTTGGAATGTATTATTATAATAAAAAGATTTTGGATGTTTACAGCACCAAATGGTTCACTTTGCCTCTTTTTTGTTACTAACAACATTACAAGTTGATGAATGATAAATATGATGTAAAGAAAAATCTAGCGTAGGATGTTCATTCATTTCGGAAGAGAAAAAAAATTAACGTGTTTATGATTTATGAGCGTCTTTATGTTTAACATCCAGCAGCCACAACATGGTAAAACACTGCTTTTCTACAGCCACAAATTTGTGTACATGATGGAATGTATACACATCATACAGATGGTTTTTGCATCACTCTTATATTCGATTAATTTTATGGGCAGCAAAAAGGAAGATAAAATGCTGCTTAATTAGTCATAAATCATTATCAAAATTTGTTGTTTATGATACAAATCGAAAATTTTATCTTTATAACTTGTAATGCAGCAATAATTTCAATTCTATTTTTTATTACAATAAATCATATTTTAATTATTATTTCTGTAGGACAAACGCGTGAGTTTGATTTGATTGCAATATGTAAGCTTGACGTAATAAACATTTTATTATCGAATTATTATTTTTCTGATTACTTCTGTTGATTACGATTATAATGAAATATTTTTTTTTGAAAAAGAAGAAATTTTCTTATGTCATCCATTAATAAAAGGGATTTTTGGAACCTCCTCTAATTTGTGGAACTCTACACCCTATTCGATCTTGGTTTACTATCAAGGTTTGTCGTAGCTCAACAAAGTTTGGACAATACTGCTTTAAATGATGGATGACATATGGAGATCTCAAACTACTGCTTCTATTTTAAGATTGCTGTCGAATAATGAATGCTTCAGGCATTTAATGCACAGTTAAATCGGTTAAATCATCAAAAAAAATTCAGAAAATCGCTTTCTATTTCTGAATTTCAGAATTTGCAATCTTTAATGACAAAAGAACGAGAAGTAAGATCGAGCCAAATTTATTTTACTGACTTCAAGCTATCCATTGAAAGCTTCAATTCAGATTTGTAGACTTCACTGTTGAATGTTTTGTCTTCTAAAGAGCCTCAGGTTTTCTATCTATGTAGGTTGAACTGAGTCAGACTTTTACTTTTTAAAATGCAATAATTTTTAAAAATTCTTTAAATTGAATTATGCTTTGCAAAAAGAAGTAAATTTAAAAATTTACACAACTAATCGAACTTCAATTTTCAGAGTCGTTGAGTTCAAGAACTTCCTCATAAATTTTCCAAGAAGACTAAACCACAATCCAATAAGCAAACTTTGCTTCATTTATCATAAAAACTAATAAATCGCTTGAATAGCTTTTAATTTTCCTTTTCTCAATCAGAAACTTTTCATTCTTTTATAGTATACTTAATGGACTTTTGAAGTTTACTATAAGAAAAAGTATTTATCTCAATTCATTACATTTCAATGCTTTTCAAACCTTTTTCTAGATTTCTCATAACAATATTTATAAACTTTACCTATTAAACCAGTCATCAGTGTATCGTGGATATGGAAACGGATCATTGCTGCTAAAATCATAACTTGCTTCAGCGTTCTGTAAATATAAAATAGGAAGGATTGAAATTTACATTTTCAACCTATGTTAGCTTTTATTGACTGTATAGCTATTACGAGAAGACTTTCAAATCTAGTATAAACTATCACAACGGATGTAAAGCGAAGAAATAAAAGTTGAAGGAAGAAATAATACGAATGAAATTGAATTGAATGAAAATTTAATCTAAATTTAAATGCTATTTCTTTTTCTTCTCTTATTGGTTCTTTTCACAAGTTTAAATTGTATTGAATCGATTGGAATGATTCAACTAGTTGAAATGAAACTTTTTAAGCTTCATAAGTATGTTACATTACAGCTAACAATGGTTATAAGTATCGAATTCAGTTACACATTTTTATATCGATTTTGCAATCTGAGTAAATTTTGCTGAGTTCGAAAAGTGAATTTAATCTTTTAAAGTCAATGTTCAGCTGTTTTATCAAGAGTTGTTAACCAAATGCCGGTGCAGATATTGTGACGAATCTGTCAGCAAGTTATTTCTGACTACAAGAAGAATTACAGGATCTTTTTTGTAGTTGTCATGAAAATCACAAAACCTCCTTTTAAATGCTTGAATAAAGTTTGTCTGTGTTTATGAATCATAAAAATTTGATTCTATGTAGTTATATACTGATCAAAACCTTCATTCGTTTATTGGCTGCTCTAATGACATCATAATTATGAGAGCGTTTGATATGTTTGTGATAAGTGCCTTTATTGAGAAGCTCTAGAACCAATTTCAACATCAGAGACCACCCGTTTTTATTTATATTGTGAACCTTTATTTACAGTTCCTACCAACTTTACACAATTGACTTCATTTGCATTCAATAAATGAGAGGATATAGAAAAATTGGCATTTTAATGCCATAAAAAAATCTTTCTCGAGCGGAACATTTGCACAATAAAATTTCTCAATTCAATTTCAATAAAGATGAAGCTTGAATTATTCTTGTTTTACAGTTAATTGGATTTCATCAATTCAGATTTACATTGTGAAAGACGTCAATTGTTGGAAAATAATGAATAATTTTAAGAATATTAAAAATTAAAGGCATCCATCGATTCAACAAAGCATTTAAGTATTAAAACAATATAACTAGAAGCTAAAAATAAAATAATTGGGAAATAGGCATACTTACATAATTAAATCTTAGATCAGGATGCATATAATCGACACCTATAACAAGAAAGAAATGAAACAAAAATTAATGAATAAAGAAAAAGAATTAACCAAATTAAAATTAATTAATTAATGTTAAATCCAATCAATAAAGGTTAAATCATTGCTAATTGGCAAGTCAATAAAAATTAATTGAATCATAATCAACCACGTTTCGAGATATTTATTATTAAAATTATATTCGTAAAGGCCGTAATTGGCACTCACGCTCAAATGAAATGAAGCAAACAGAGAGATAAAATAATATTATTGATTTATTTACCATCATCCATGATTGCTGTTGTTACATTTTTTCCAGTAATGCCTTGATCCCATGCTGCCTGTACATTCAAATCCAATCTCACTTTTCCGCCATTTTGACCTGTATTGCGTAAATACCATTGAAGTGGAAAGTATGGATCTGTTGGAATCTTGCCGGTACTTTCTTTATTTTGTGTAACAATTGGATCATTGCTGATTGCTGCAGGACTTTTCAATGTTCGAAAGCCACGTTTTACTCGCTTAAAGCCTGGCTGTTGTACTGCCGTATGAATCTATGTGATTAATGAAAAATTTAAATTACAATAATTAAGGCATGTTGATTAATGATCAAGGAGTTTGAGTACAGCACAGAAAAAGTTCATTGATGATAAATTATAATTATGCATAATCTATTTCTGTATACATAATATGATTCATATTACTATGCTGGAAAATTCGAGACTATCTTGACATAAAATTATCTGCAAGATTTGTATCGTAAAGTTGGATATTTAAAGACATATCTTATATCTTAGCTTTAAGACACTTCAATCAATAATTGTTGCTCTACTGGGAAAATGGATATTCTTTAATTATTGTGTACGTTAGATAGATTTAAAATATCCATCATGGAACTAATTAGTAACATTTTTAATCTTTTATCTATCTGTTCATACTTTTGCACTCGCGAAATTAAATAATGAATAAATAAATTAAATTAATTAATTATATCCCATTTTATATCAACAGACGATCATAACTCAGCAAGAGCTCTGTACCATTTCCATGTAATAAATTTCAGCAGAGAGCAATAAGATTTCTTTCATTTTCGCATCATTGAGGCTACGTCAACAAGTGTATTGAAGGAAAAAAATCATTTCTGTTTCTCCTCATTGAAGACGATTGGAATGCTGATATGAAATAAAATATAAAAAAAGACCTTGAAAATGAAGCATAATATTGTTACAATTATGAGAGCTCTTGTCTTTTATAACATTTTTATTGCTGATTTTGCCCTACTTTTCATTTTAATTCTTCATTAAACTTTCTTTTTAATGACTCTTAAGTAGATTGAAATGAATGAATAATACTTCAGTTATTAGACAACATCTGAAGCTTTCATCAATTTAATTTTCGAGAATTTTCGAATCTTTAAGTCAAAATTTTTTTTCCTATACGTCTCTCAAGTGTCAACTTCTTAGAATTTAAGACATTACTTTTCATGATCGAATTCTTTTAGATTCCGTTGCTTTGAAATCAAATCACATGTCTGTCCCAAAGCTCTCGATACATTTTATAAAACAAATCGTTCCACCAATTGAACACTCAGTCACCCAGTCAATCTTAATAGAAAAGTTATAATACCCAAGGAAATAAAATACTCAAAAATAATCCGTTCATTGCTCATTTTATGTCAGATTTAAGAGCTATTATTTTAATTTGACAAATGAACAACGATGACAATCGAAATTGAAATTGACAAGATTGTCGATGACATTTATGGTGGTTTACAATTATAAATTTTGTTGTTTATAAAGTTTTAATTAAGTGGTAATCATGATTAACCAGTTAAAAAGGATATCTTTTACTTTAAATTGGAAATGGATAAGATAAAATGAGAGAAAAAGGTACAGAAAAGTTTTAAGTAAATTCTTTACAATCGAAAGGTTTACAAATTTTCTAAAAGGGATTTTTGGGTTCTCGATCGATTTATTTCATCTTTTTTTTCTTCTTAAATAAAAGGGCCATTATGAGAGCATTTCACATGAATGATTCAAAGGTATGTCTTTTTTTAAGCCGCAAAACTTCAATTTTATGTGAATATTACCGATTTTAACACTTCACATCTTAAGATAAACACGATTTTTAAATATATGTTGCGATCCTCTCTGGGTTCGCTTAAAATGACGCCCAAATTTTTTTCAATTGAGGTAGTTTTGCAAATGTGTGATGCTAGATAGAACATGAGTTTAGTCGATAACTGAAGTAATTTATAAACATCCCTAAGAAGAAATATTATGATCCTTAGTTTCAAAAATCATACTCACCAATGGTTCCTTTTTCAAAATTCGTGTATGTGAAATGCTTCGTCTTGATCTTACATGTGGCAATGTGCTATGACGAAAATGAAATTCCTTGTTGGAGCTACCAGGAAGCTATAAAAAAATGAACAGCATTAAAAATCCAATTTGTTATTGAGATATATGACATAAAATATTGAATAATTTACGTATAATTGTAATGCGAAAAAAGGACACAAAACATCATTTATGACTTCTTTTATGTACTTTTTCCTGGCATTTATCAGAAAAGCATTTCATGCTTAAACTGTTCATTCATAAAAATGCTATTTCGATATTTGTATTAAAAAGAGAATCTCCTTAAAGGTTGACCAATTATTTCTTAATTGGCTATTAGATACCTTTCATCACTCCGTCGAATCACTTTTCTGATATTTATTTCTGTAATTCTGTGACCTTTGATATTCACTTTCATTTAAAAGATTGCATTTTTGTGCATATCGATTATAATCTAATTAAATGCAAGTTCTATGAAAGTTTTGATCTTTTAGGAAAATCTTCTGCTTTAACCAATAATTGTCAATGCATAATAAATTGCTGATTCTTTAAAGCATTCATTCAGATCAGCATTAAACTGATATATTAAGACATTTAAATTCAAATAAAGCAGAATGAAAAATGAAGGAAGAATGTTTATTAATGGAAGCTAAAGAATTTCATTCATATAATTTCAGAATTTTCCAGCTTTTCATAAAAAATCTAAAAGCTCAGAGCATTACATTAATCCTCAACCCACAAAACTTTTCATTAACAAAATGTGGTATAATCCTTACTTCTTCTTCTTAATGCTTCTTTACACTTATGAGAAATGTTTACTTTTTCTGGTTTCTAAAAATTTACCAATTTTATAATTGCTACAAGCATAAAACCTTTCTTGAGCTATTGTGAGACGAATCATAAAACGAGCAGTATTACGTGAAGCATTTAAGAATATTAAGTATAAGTTTTCTTGAGATATTAAAGTAAATATTGATAATTATGTTTCACATAAGACATGTGTGCTTCATCATAGCAAATGAGATGAACAACCCTTAAGCAACATAAGATTCAACATGATACAAATTAAATACAACATTTTACTTCCATTTGTAAATTGAGTTTTCGAGGAAATGTTAGCTGAGTTTAAATAATGAAATAAATTATAATAATGCTAATGTTCTAAATTTATAACAGGATATAATATTGATTACCAAATTAATTGTAATCCAATATTCAACTAATTATTAGCAGAACATAATTTAAATATGAATTTTAAAATTATTTTTTTGGACATTTATTATGAAAAGCTCATGGCTATTACGGTTCAAATAAGCTAAATGTGCCATATGTTCTCGTTTTTTACAATGTTTGATTAATTTTGCAATTTCAAATAAAATAACTTATTTAAATTCCTCGTTTTAAATTCAACTCCAACAAGTCAATGTAATAAAATTTGAATTTATTTTATGCTTGAAAAATTTGAGTTTAATTAATAAAACTTTGAGATGTCTGGTTAGGTCTAGTTTAATAGTTCGTGTGATGCCAATAAGTTTTTAATGCTTGAGCAGGGAGTTAAGTGTTGGAGATGACCTTTTAAAAAACAAGTAGTTTGAGGTTATACCCAACAGAATCAGCCTCTTTGTTCGTTAATACCTTTTTTGTTTAAAAATGTTAATTGTCACTGTTTGTGAAATATTAGGTGTTTCAAAAGCAGTTAACATTCTACGCTACGGTTTAAATATTACGGAAAATTTATGGCGAAATACTTTTGAAAATTTCACAATAATTTATTCATTGCGAAATACCATAACAAAGGACCTTGAGTATGAATAATTTTCCATGAGCAATCACGATGTAAATTCCACTAAACTCTCTGCTATATTACATAAAATATGTCATTCCAGTAATTCACTTTAAGAGAAATTATTGACATTCCAGAGTATGGTTATACTGTGCTTTGTATTAAGCTTCAAACATCCTTTAGAAGTAAAAAATTAATCATGAAACTTCATAACAATTTGCTTCACATAACTTATTATTTTTCTGAGAGAAATGCCTTTGCAGCAAAGAAAAATACGGAAAAAGAATGCAATAGAAGACAAACTTTAATGCTAAAGTATTGTTTCTATACATATTTTTTTTTGTTCTCCTGTGGTTTATGTCTACATCTTTTAATACTGAGAGACAACACAATATCTGTGAAAGATTAAGAAAGAAAAAAAAAACTTTACATTTATCCACTACTATGTTTTCTACCTCAATAAATAGAATGTCTAGAAAACGTGACCCACATTTAAAATCGAGAAAATACAAGCTGAAGACTTGTCATGTGCATTCATTCATTCATTCAATAAAATAAGTGAAGAAAGGGATGAGATGGATCATGGTTAACTTTATTCTATGCAACTTTTTAGCAAATTGCGCAAATTGTACAACATTGTAGATTAATTTTTTCAATCAACTTGAGTGAAAATGTTTAAAAATTAGATAACAGGTTAATTGAATCATCTGACTCAATGGAATTTTATATTCATCTTACTTTCATTTTTTTCCAAGACATTTGTCTCATTTCTTCTCCATTACAGAGCATTGAATCTTTCTATATTTATCAAATTCCCAAAATAATACTTTGGAACGGAAATTCCAAAGTATAAGAGCTTTGTATCGAAAAGAATTTGTCCTGCATAGATGGAAAGAAACAAAAGGCATTTGGAGCATGATATCGAATAAGAAAGAGCCAAGGAAATATGTCAATTAAGCGCACATACCAGATGCAATAAAAGAAATTGTAGATATGGGAAAAATCATCCAACAGGTGCTGTACATTAGGATGCTCATCTGATGAATTATATAAAGTTGAGCACTTTGCTCAAACAAATTAAATTAACTTTATTCCAAGTTTAATAAATTTCTTCCTAGAGAATTGTACGTTTACGTTTATTTTCCTTTTGATTAAAAATGAAAATTTTCCTACGGGGCCTTTCACTTATGACGTCCGACATTTAGGGGGGGGGGGGGGGGTTAGGATTTTGTGACAGTTTAAACAATGGAAATTTTTTTCTGTAGGATTTTTGTGACCGAGAAGGGGAGAAGGGGGGGGGTCTAAAAATCAGGTTTTTGATGGACGTCATAAGTGAACGACCCCTACTCTTATTTCAGGTAAATTAAAGGCATTAGGTACTTATTCATTGATTAAATTCAAATTGAATAAATTATTCATTCATTTAAAATTCTTAGAATCAAATGCTTTTATAAAGCTTATTCAAGACTGAAATTAATTGAAGAAAATTGGAAGTAAAATCATGAAGAGCTTATTGAATTTAGAATAACATAAACTCATTCACTACGCTCTAATAAAGCCTTATAATGTCTTGAATTCAACTTTTAATAATTTATTCAATAATAAGAACAGAACAGATGACATCAAATTTGTCATCTTGGATCATCGTAAAACTTAATGAGCATCACACTATGAATAAGGAATAACAAACTATCATCACAATCATCAATGCTTACAGGACACGAAGATGAGAATCAATACTTTTTGACAACAAGTTAAATACATAATCGCTCAGTAGTAATTGGATTCAACAAGTAAATAATGAAATGACTGAAAATAACCTAATTGTTATTCATTGCTTTGTATTCTGATGTCGTAATTAAGGACGACAAAAGTTCTTTCATGCAATACAGACAACTTCGTCATCAAAATGTCTATGTAATTAGGAGTTTCGTTTCCATTTGTTAACAAAGCTTTGTAAACTTTTCTTCTCATAATTTCTGTTCATGAAGAGAGAGAGAGAGAGAGAGAGAGAGAGAGAGAGAGAGAGAGAGAGAGAGGAAAATTATGGTAATTTACGCCATTGAGTTTCCTTTAGAATATTTCATAGCAGCAACAACGTAACTCATGAATAAAAGTATCAAAGCAACGTGCTTGATATGAAAATCGTGCATGTACGAAAAATTAGCAAAATTTCAAAATCAAATCTTCACAAATAAATTTATCATGTTTCACGCTTGTAAAGAAGTGCTTTATAAAATTTTAACTTTAAGGTAAGCTTGTGTTACTTCTCAAATTCTATCGTCTGAAAATTTCATTCTTTTGTTAGAATCCACACAAGGCTGTATTTCGAGGTAAGATGTCGACATTTGTGCAGGTAAATAAGACAGATTCATTTACTTAAGAAGATAATGAAAGAAAAAGCTTTCCCACGCAAAAATATATTCCAATTTCCCTACCCCAAAAAAAATTTTCGTGTTAAAGTTAAACATACAATTTTTATATTGAGAAGCATGTGAGCATATTAATTTAATTTCACAATCTTTCATCGAATGACGCTTTCATGTGTACATTTAAGTATACGCGTGTATCTGTACGTTTATGTTGATGTGATACGATGAATGTTCATCGCGGAAAGATAAAGTAGATTAATAGCATAGAAGGAGTATCTTTGAAGTGCTCTTATATCTTTAATTATTCCAAGTGTATGAAAATTTATTTAAGATTTGCATTAGATGAAAGTGAGGACGAAAGCATATAACATGAAATTTATTGCGACTTTGAGAATCATTTTATTTCATCCTCCCCTATGGCTACAATAAGGACATTGAATCGGTTCGTTAATACTGAATGAAATTGATATAATTCATGAGCTTTGAAAATTGATTATTCTCGAATGGTTTCATATTCATGATTTATTTTTATCTTTTCGCATGTAGTGCATCAGAATCTAGGAAAATTGTTGAGTCGTCCATTAATTGTCGTCCCCTCTTTCGCTTTTGATCTTTCCAAGTGTGCTGAAGAAAATAAATTGTAAAAGACATAAGTAGATCAAATTTCCTGCTCAATTCAGCATTATGTGAATTTCCAGAAAAATCTAAAACTTTTTAAAGTCAAAATTGCAAGCACGTATTTTATTATTTTACCCGGATAATCCGTAGCAAAAAAGAATTGTGAACTGAATTTTAAATAAGAGTTGAAAAAAAAAAGTTTATACATCTACAGGTTCATCATTTGCATATTTTTCATATTCCATTGTTCATTTGAATTAAGTGATGAGGTAAATTTTCTCTCATTGTGGTGGATTTTGCTGCCACACAAGAGAACTCTTTTCCATAGAGCAATTGACTGAGTTTAAACTTATCGTGGAAAATTATAAAATCATGAAAAAAGTTCATCTTACTTGGTAAATTATGAGAATTTAAAAATTTATAAAGCTTCTTGATCAATATGGATTTACTAACGAGATCTCTTTTGAAACTTGCGAATATCTTGAGTAAGAAAATTTTGAAAAAAAGAATTGTGTTGAGATTGAACTCTATTAAATGCCAAGTAATTGCGTCATAGAGGCGTTTCAATATTGTTTTCATAATATGACATTGCACAGACACCAACACTTTCATCAACTTTGTAAAGTTTTAAATTGAGAAAATAATAGATCTGTCATGCATGAAGCATCCTATACATTTTAAATGACATGATACAGTAACACTATGTATGCTCAAGTGATTGTAAATTATATTTCCTCATAGGATTTATTATAATGTGAAGGATAAAGGAATTCTTAATAATATCATATTTATCAAAGGATCTTATTTCTCATCTAAGTCAATTTATAAGCCAAGAGAAAACTTTATATAGAAAAGAAATCACAGCTGCTTTAATGGACTAAATAATAAAAGAAAAATCTTCTGTTTAATTAAAATAATGAAAAGCAAGCCGCAAAATGAAACAAGGAAACTCCATTAGATATACATTCGGGACGCAGCCAACATTATTGACTAGAAAGCATTTCTCATACTCTAAGTCTTGTTTATTTTGCTCTTAATACGATTTTATTCGTGTTAGCATTATGATGTATAGTAAATTTTATTATGACCAACTGCGTTGAATTCAAAGTGGTTTTTGTGTGCGAGAAGAAGAAGAAGAAAAATAACAAACATTTTTTTTTTCATATCCTCCAGTCACTAAGAAGTCTCCTAACAATATTTGACTATCATTATTTCCCTTTTATTCTCTTTTTTTTATCAAAGCTTCAAGGACTTCTGAGTAATTGTAAATATGTCATATGGGTTTTGCATTTTTTCGTATGCCTTCAGCAGCCTTCAGATTTGTTGACAGAATTGCATTTAAATTTAAATAGATTTGAGGTTAAATTTAATAAAGATTTTTATGTTAACGTGGTTTACATAAATTGAACCCAAAGAGCATATGGAAACATTTTGAATGTAGTTCGCAAATCGAAAGCGTTGAGTCCAGCTTATGTGGTTAGCTAAACCGTAATTAATCTGAATAATGCAACTATGAAAGTCTTACAACAGCAAAAAATACATTTTATGATTTTAATGTATAACAATCTTACTTAAATTTGTCTCTAAACTTATTTTTCCAAATATTAAATGTCATGAATATTCGAACAATCTTTTGTAAAGCTTTTAAAAAAGCAAACAAATTTGGTTTCAGTATCTGCATTTTATGTTTTTTTAACCTTAAAATAGCTAAAAAGGTTCAACAAAAAAAAATTACTTTTTAGAAGCATAAATTCATTCAATTTATCTAATTTGCACAAAATCTAAACAGACATAAATATCCCCTCAAGTCCTAGTTTTTATGGATATAAATTCAACAAGCTAAAGCATACAAAAGGTTATATGACATCGTCATGCTCGTAATTTAATGAAAATATTCATAGTGAAGCCGAGGATAAAGGCTCTTATACAATACGCTAAAATCGCATCTCTGACGTAAATATCAGTGCTAAATATAGCTTATCAATAAATGATTATCGGTTTTGACAGATGATGATTTTCTTAAAATTATTATAACAAACTTTATGACATAAGCAGAATAACAAGAAGATAATCTGTCAGTTTTTATTGCGACCCAGGGGTACAATGAGATACAATGAGATGCTAATGGTTTTAATCAAAAAAACGTTGTGTCATCAATTCATTTTGATGGTTTGCAGTGCGTAGGAGTTTTATACAGCTACAGAGTCTTAAATTTCTGCTTCCTCTGTTATTACAAAAAATAAATATTGTTCTCGTAAAAACAACAAAAAGCTTTGCCGAAGATGCTTTAATGATAATATTAGGCTTTCCTTTTCCGACGAATTTTATTTCGAGAGAATTTTGCGCTCATCAAAAACTGGTAATTATGGTTTATTAAGCTCTCACAAAACAAGACATAAGTCGTACATAACAATGATTGCTGGAGACATAAAACTGAGAGGAGAAGTTGAGAATCATGAATAAATAATGAAACTGAAACAATAGATCCTACACAAGACTTAAATATAAAAATACTTGATTGGCACTCATCTTAACTTATTGTGGGTTTAAATGCTTGTGTTATAAAAATTAGCGTTCATCAGTACTTTAAGAAACTTCCAGCAAACAACTGACTATAAATAGAGATTAAATGATGATTTATTGATAAACAAGTGGTAAAAGGTTTCGAGTCGAATATTAATGCGTTCATTCTGCTCAGTAATAAAATCATACAATAGAGTTTCTTTTCTACAGCTTCTAATTACACTTCTTTTTCTAACAAAATCGTCCTTTGTTAATTGAAAACAGATATACCAGGAGCGTGGGAAGACAATGACCCTGAACATTGTGGTTTAAGAAGCGAAACATTAAGAGACAGTCCTGAACAAATTATTAAAGAGACCGCAAATTTTATATTTCGCACCAATCATTAAACCAATTTTAATTCCAACTCTGCACACAACCAAGCCTTACAATCTTTTCGGCTTTGTTTAATTTTTTGATGAACTTGAAGGCAATGTTATTTATTTTTGTTTGCGAAGCAAATTTTATCTTCCAAAGATCCTTTCTTCAATGTGATTTTTTGTCGTAATTAAAACTTGTTCAATTACGACGTAATTATTTACTCAAGCATTCATTTTAAGCAGGTTAAACATCTTTTCTATCTGTTCGCATTTTTTCAATTCACTTAACTTTTGTATTGCTTGTTATCCACGTTTATAGAAGTAGATATACACGAGCCACAACAAAAGGTTTATTTATAAACTTAAGATACATATGGCATATAAAGTAATCACTTAAAAGGATACATGTATGTTGATGAAAATGAAATTTTCTTCAGAAATATCCTCGATCAAATTTGAATTTCGATTATTGAATTGAAAATCAATCACTGTAATGTTGAAGGCACTTGACATATGTTTTGTGGGCAGTTGTTGGTGACAAGCTGTAAACATTTTAACATGAAAGTCACAAAATGCTTGATTTGCATAGCCAAATCAATAAATTTGAATAAAATAGTTGATTGATTGTGCGAATGGAAGAAAATATTTAAAGGCATGGATAAAAATGATGAAAAGTAATTTTGTGACATGATAAAATGCTAAAAAGGAACGAAACTTAATTACCATATGTTAAAGAAAAGTTTATCTTTCTAACAAGATGCTCTTGCCTTCTTCCTTTTAGAAAAACAAAGTGTAATGTTCTATGCATGAAAATTTGAATTTCAAAATTCAACCTAGAATGTTAATGAAGATAACTTTTCATTAAATAAACGAAAGTAAGAATAATGATAAGGATCCGACTACAAGCAATTTTATTGTTAACATTTATGTGTCGAAACAAAAAACAATGTAATTATTCACATTTCCTACCTAAATATGTTCGGATGGATTTGTGCGTGGGATGAAATGATATCAGAATACGAAATCGTACTTTTTTGCATTTAGAGACGAGGAAAATCAACGAAGATAACGAACATTGATAAATCTACGTAAATTATTCAATACGTCGTAAGTTAGTATGAAACTTACCGCTCCAATGTTGTGAAAGCCATTACGCTTTGCAATATCATGTGCCTCATGACTATCAACACTACGTTTGAATTTCACAAGGAATGAACTGGTAAATAATTCACCCGATGATGGAGATGACGTCACTTGAGTCAGCGATAGAGCAAAAAGTCCCAGGAATAGGGAACACCATTTCTTTGGCATATTCTAATTTGAGTAAATACGCACAAAAGATTTTTTTTTTCTTTTTTCGGATGTTGTTCCTTGAATTTTTTTAAATTTAAGCTGTTGTGTTGATTTTCTTGCTTAATATTTTGCACTCATAATTTTTTTAAGATCAATCACATGCAGCGATTTTAATTTATTTATCTTCTTCCACACTCTTTTCAATCTCCTCCTTTAGTATCAACAGAAATGATGATTTTACACTCAATTAAGCTCTTTGATTGAGTCGTAAAAATTTCCCTTATATTTACTGCTGTGAAATTTTTCTTTTACTATATTTATGTACGCATAAATATGACAGATATTATGACTCGGAGGTGATAAAAGGAGAATATTTTGATGGAGAGAATAGAAATTTATTTTTGGAAGAAATCAATAAACTTTCAATGTGGATTTCCTTTTTTTCTCTCTTTGCACCTTTATCACTTAATAACACTTTTATATATAGATTCTCAAAGATTTTCACACAGAATATGTAAAATAAGTTAGAAACTTAATAGCAACTTATGGTTTGATAACAAAAAAACTTTTGTATTTTATTTCCAGTCACTTCTCTTTTTCTTTATTTTATTTTATTTTAAATTTATTTCACTTAATCTCTTTGATTGTTACATAAATAATGAATAGACTCGATTTTACGATTTATGGTATGTCTATTCACTTTTATTAACCAAAAATAATACCAAAAAAAGAGAAAGGAAAAAGTTTTTTATTTGATTCTAACAAAAAATCAAAAACAAAAATATTCCTTATCAATCACCATTTTAATGCTTTTAATCTCTTCGACTGATAAAAAGTGAATGAATGTGTGTTGGAGAAAAATGTTCCCTTCGATTTCGGATGCGGAAAAATTTCATGATCATGCGCATATCATAGAGTCGACGTGCAAACGACGTCATAGCCGTTATTATTCATAGATAATTTTATTCTACAGATGTTCAAAGCTTTTCGCATCACAAGCTTTCCGATGAAGCTTTCCTAATATTGTACAGTATGGATTCTACTCTATCTATGGCACAACAATGTATTGTACACAAAAAATAATCTTTTGTTTTTCATATTTTATCGCTTCGATGTGTGTTAATACATGCATTAATCTTCCTTTAACCAACTTTTCCACTTGTATTTGTGAAAAGTTTTTTTCTTTTTTCATTCATCGTTTGTGACACGCGCACACTTGACCAAAAGACAGTTCCGTTTTGCTGACGTCACACAAGTGGAGAAGTAAGCAAGAAGGAACACTTTTGTATTATTTTTCTCCTATTCGCATGATTAAGAAGAAAACAAAATTCCTTATGACATGAAGTCAATAATAATACGTTGGTAAGGAATCTTTTTATGACAGATGGAAACTTCCCGACAGACATTTATTTTGAGAGTCTAATCATATTTAAGATCTACTGATAGTTTCAGTACTGTGTCGTCAACATGTTGAATTAATGAAGTAGTATTGTCATAGAAAAATTCCATTAATAACTGATATTGACTGAAATTGAATTTTTTTTTTTCTTATTGTTTTGTTAGTCATTCACAGCATGCAAATGAATAATGATTGATCACATGGGAAGCAGAATATATTGACACGTATGTAACATCTGGAATTGTATTGTATTATTAGGAAAGACCTTCATGATGATAGCAATGGCAAGTTCACACGTGCTACTAATTTCATTATTCAGAAAGTTTTACCCGCTCGATGCACAAACATAATCTCATAACAAAACTCGAAAGGCTTGCATAAACTCAGTAGTTTTAACGTAGCTGTGACAATGTGATGAAAAAAAATAACTTCAATATCCTCAGGTAATGAAGTTTATTTTTAACATTGATATAAATATATTGTAGCACAAGATCTCTTTTATGTACACTTGATTCTAGCCATTATAATGACTTGATAACATAACGTACGCTCATTTCGATTTATTTACCTTGTATCTTTATAGCATTTTGCTCTTTATTTATTCAGAAGTAGAAGACACATTTAGTCGGTGATAATTTAATCAAAAACCTTGAAAAGGTGAAAGAAGCATACTGAAATTTACTTCCGAGAATAACCTTAAAATCCAATTTAGGGAATGCTGTAAATCTAAAAATATTTAGATGTGAAATACATTCACGATAAAAGGATCATTAAAACTCAATTTTAATAATCCTTTTGTCAGGCTTTTACAAGAAATGTTGTAATAATAATAATAATAATGTGTGAAGGGCTCAGCCTTTCAGCTGAAGGCACTGCGATTCAAATTAGAACATAATCTATTGTACCACACCCTTTAGACCTACAGTTTATAGTGGGATCCGATATTGTAACTTTTATGTCTCTAGAAAGTTCTCGGGGTGATTTCATGTCTAGGATGGAATTTTCCCGCCAAAAGCTTTAATTTTTGAATCATCCATCTTATAGACCAAAATGTTACATCTCACCTTTTATTCAAGGCACTAATTTCATTCAGAGTTAAAGAGTTTATTGCACTGAATCGATAACCTCAAACTCTGAGCTTTTACCTATGTCGTAAGTTGATGATGTTAAAAAAACAATAAATTGAAGTTAAACACAAAAATGTACATAAAATAAACATTTTCATCATAAACATCAAAATGGCCAGAAAGAGATGAAAATAAACTTCATGTTGATGATGTTAAAGGATGATGGAATATAAATTGGATATTATCTTTAATAATTTTGGTTGTCTAACGCTAAATAAACCAAAAAAAGAAGTTCTTTCCATTTTTGTGTTTGCTGCTCTTATCTGAATATTGATAAGACGGATAAAGAGGATATTAAAGGCGATTATGTTATAATTATAATCCTTGATGAGATAAAGCCAAAAATATAACAAAATACAGTAAAATGCTGCCTTATTTTCAGAATCATTACAATTAGAAGACATTTGAGATTTTAATTATGCTGGTACTTTTGATGTTTTTATCTGAAGCTTCTTGTAAGAAATGATTTTTCGTAAAATTTTCCCTTATCGGCATGAAACCCACGCATATACATTTTAACAATCCCAAAAGACACAGAAGATTTTTGTACAAGTATGAAATATGATGGTAAAGTTGATAGCGAGAGAGATGAGCTTTTTTATTTGACCTCCGGATCTTTTATCACGAGTATTTTTAAAATAAATTGTTTTCATGGAAATATTACACTTAAAATAAGCAAATTTTGACCCAAATTAGATCGGACTCTTCATAGACTTTGCATATTGTGATGATTTTTGTGGGTGTAAAATACAATACTTCAGATACAGCGGTTAAATAAAAGGTAGGAAGTCACAGCACTTTGACATTTATTACCTTTATTCAAAAGACTCATTATGAGCTGTAAATAAATGACGTCTATACAGTAATGCTGAGTGGGAAACAATCAGGGCACTTATATAAAGATACAGTCTGAGAACCACTACTTTAAAAGCTAGCAGGAACAATGCTTTTTCTGGAAGCTTTAGCTTAATATTTAAAACTAGGCTATTCGAAGAAGCCCGAGGCGCCTGTTATCAAGGTTTAAATTTGATTACTTTTATGGAAATAATTGTAAGACGCAAATAACCAAAATGTTTCTAAGGTCAATCCTACCACATAACTTCACAAACCCTCTCAAACTCGGACCCTCTTAATCCCACTAAAGCTTTAGTCCCCCCGAAACTCACAATGTCCCCTCACCAATCTTGTCAAACCCTCCACCACCCCTATGACACCCACCTTATCAACACCCCCAAATCATTGGCTTCACACGGTTTTACAAATGGATTCACATGGCTTCCGTTCTAGAGTCAGTGAATTGGGCTTTTATAATAAAGATTATCTCTAGCGCCCTTTTAATCAAGAGATCCAATTAAAATTGTTAATTATTATAAACCGAGGCTTAAAAAGAAATTTTTTATTAGATGCAATAAGAAATTTAAATCTTTTTTTTTGGATTAAGGAACAAGGTGGTGGGGGGAAGATAAACTGTGAATGTCCCAATAAGATTAATTTGATTATTTCACGAAAATTGGCGTGTAAACATCCAGTCTCGTAATAAATTGTGTTTGTCAAGGTCAAACCAAACTGAAAGGAATCAACAAGGCATCATAAAACACCGTTAATAAAAACTGAAATAAAATTTTCCCAAGTTGTTGTATTAAAAAAAATGTCGGGTCAACATTTACATAATAAAAGAAGGAGGAATCTTGTACTAAATCAGTTGAGCAGAATTTTAATATCACTTGGAATTGCCTTACATTCATCTCATCATGGTGAAAAGAAGTAGCAGAAATACAATAAATATCTATTTGAATGGCAATCTAACTTTCTCATTGTTTTAAGGAAAACATTTATTGTACAAAATAAATTACTCGCTATGGCTTCATGGAGCGCAGTATGTTTACACACATTTACTCTTCATAACCACATTCAATTCGCTCGTGCTTCTTCTTAACCGCATAAAGTTTTTACCAGCATTTTAATTGTGACACGTTCGAACAAGAACGAAAATGACAAAGTTAAGCAAGAAAATTTTCTTCATCATTCAGCATGGCTAAAATACGTTGTTAATTGTTCGGTCACAATAAATGTCAAGTGATTTGACTTTGATAACAAACACGATGTAAACATTATTGCTTTTGGCAACTGAATATTATTCAACGCTAAAACTTCTTATCCACATTTGCGTCACATAACTGCCATATTCAGACAATATCACTCAAGTCTCATCGTTTGAGATGGCATTGAGTTTTTATATGCAGGATCTCATGTGGCGGTAAATTTTATGTTCACGAATGATGCATGCTACTCGATAAGAATAATTTTTGAAACAATAAAGATTATTGTGTGATTATTGAGATTAATTAAATATTCCATTCACGCAGCAATGCCTATAAAGGATTTTTATGGGCGAAAAGAGAGATAATATGTTTATTTATCAAGAATCATTAATCAATTCATCGTTAACTATCCTATCTAGAAATCTTATAAGTTACATGATTGTTTGAGATAACGGTGGATAAAACAAGGCTTAGAGCCATTCATACATTCCGTTCGCAGTAAGAAGTAAGAAAGTTCAAAAACATCAACAAGCTTTAACAAAATCAGAATCATTCACAAAAGCAAAGCTTTGTTGTCTCGAAATCCACGTCTTTTCACATTTTTTGTGAAGTTTCCACCTGTATGCTTTCAAATAAAATGTAATCAAGTTATGCTTGGCATTTTTATGCATCAATACACAAGATGGTTGTTGAAAAGCTTAGTATGAAAGAATTTCATTATAATGTGAATAAATTCATTGACAGCACCTAAATACTTTTATTCAGAATTTTCATATTGAATATTTGACGAGATCCTTTGTCATTGAATGTCCATAATTCAATAGAATCCACACAATAACTGCTTTGAAGCATTTTCGAGTTTAGTCATCATAAAGATTAAATGTTGTTTGATGTGCTTGTAT